GATTTAAAGAGTTTGTGGATACCCCTTTGGTTAGCTACGTGATTGAGTAGAGATTTGATAATTAATGTTTTAGTTTTTAGCCAAAACTGAACAGTTTACTCCAAACGGTACGCACTTTTTCGCCCAAACTGCTCCGAATTGAAAACAAATTGTATTTTTGGAATCAGACTATCAAAACTAGAATTTTGGCGTAATCAAAATATTTTTCTGAGAACTTTTATTTTTCACAATGTTCGGGTCTGTCTCAGTCATAATTTAATATAATAATATGAATGAAATAAAAATATATGAATTAAATCCAAATGATTAATATGATGTTGTCAAGTGTCAAAATTTAAGATTTCTAACCCTATGAAATCTCTTTTTGAATTGAGTTTATTTTATGGGTCAAAGTTACAAATTTTAATATTTAAAATTGACATAACTTGAAATCTATAAATCAGATTGGTTCATAAAATGTACCGTTGGATTCGTCTCTTCGAGACATATCCATAAGAATAAGTTTTTAACAAAAAGTCATTATTTTGGAAATCCATTTATTTTTGGTCAAACGTATAAATATTCCTTATTGGATAAAACTACTTTTATTTTATAATAAATTTTAGGCCATATTTTGTGGCGTTACAAAGTTTGTTAATTTGAATATTGATTGACAAAGAAGATTTATTCATCTTTGTTATTTGTTGTTGTTGTAGTTAGAAAGGCGATTTGACAATAAGAGAAGTGATGCAACACATGACTATAAAAAAGAAGTTATCGTTGGGATTATATTTATCTTTTTATATTCTGAGCTACTGATCACAACAGTTAATTAGTGATTTATACTATGCATTTTTTTGAATTGTATGTTATGCATTTTAATTTAATTTTCTTCAATTAATAATAATACGAAGTATTGCTTTTGTGAGTTAGCTAGATCTCAATTGAAAGTACACAATATATAATACTCCCCTTATTAACTCTTTCAAAATCACTCTAGTTTTCTTAAATTATTGAGGACTACTCCAAACAAACAACTCATTAAAAATCTCTCTTATTTAAGCTTGCAAAAGATAATCATTCCTTCAACTTTATTGCACACATTAGTCACAATATAATTAAGTCAAAAGTGATCAAGATTATCTTGCCATATAAATTTTCTTTAAACAACAATTTTAGAATTAGCTAGAGTGTATTAGTGCATAGTATCCGATGATCTTTTGTATCTCCATTTTAAATAAATTTCAGGAGCAAACGTAATGGCACCTAAAGCAAACCAATTAGCTCCTGAAGCTAATCCCAATTGTGACGAGATCATTCATGCAAAGAGTGAATTACTCAGGAAGGCTGATGAAAATGGTGATGGGCATCCATATACAAAAGATTATGAATGTGCTCATTTAGCCCTATCTCATATTAATTAAATAAATAATTAATAATGGGGTTGGTTTTGAGAACCCTCCTTTAAAGAGCAAGGCAATAGCCCTATCTCATATTAATTAAATAATTAATTAATAATGGGGTTGGTTTTGAGAACCCTCCTTTAAAGAGCAAGGCAATGGTCATAATTAGGGTGATTTTTCATATATAGTTTAATCATCCTATTATATAAACTAGAGTGTCTACCTAAAAGATATAAACTATAGTGTATTCGAAATTTGGATGAATTCTCAAAGTTAAGTTTTCGATATAAACTAAAAGGTGTACCAAAAATATATAAAAATTAAAGTGTATCTAAAGTTTGATCGGCTTATTATTATGATTATGTAATTAATAATTTGCATCTTTATGAATAGAATTGTCGTGTTACATGATTATAAGGCTAAATCATGGTTCTGCTTCTTATGCTTATTTTCAATTTTGTTTCCCATTATATGTTAGGAGAACATAAAGTTAAGAGTTTAATCTCTAAGAAACATACTCTTAATTTAAAGTATGATTGGTAGTTTTTATTGTTAAATATAATAAAATATAATTATTTTAACCTGATTTTCCTTCTAAAAAGCCTGTCATTGTCATTGGGGGAACCATTTGAACATTATAGCTGGACATGGTACGGGCTCGGTTTCGGTACCGGCTATTCCGATACTCATTTTAGTGGAATCAGAATCGTGTAGGGACAGTTCCCGGCATTTCCATTTTCGTAATGGGTTCGGTCCAGATTCTAGTTCTGAAATCATTCCAAATATTTTTAATAAAACTTTTGCTAAAAAATTATATAATTGACTACAAACTTTTTTTTCATAGTAAATATTAGTAATCAACCTCAAACAAATTAAAAATAAGCAAAGAAACTAAATATACAAAAAAATTGAACCAGTTCTGTTTTTCTAGCAGTTCTCATTCCGGTTCAAATGCCAAACATCATATGTTCTCTTTGAGTTTCTTCTAGTTTTAATAATTTCTTCTAGTTTTTTCTAATTTCTTCCAGTTTCTTCTAATTATTTCAAGTTTTTTCCAATTTTCCAACTATTCCCATTCTCTTCAATCTTTTTTTACTCCCAGATAAAGACTCTAAAAATAAAATGTTTTTCATGTATTATATAGCTTATAATACATGTTTTTTCTCCTATTCCCATTCTTATTATAATTATAGCTTATAAATCATTGCAATTTTATCTATTTTTATTTTTCCCATGTTACTGTTTTGTGATTCACAATAATTATTATTCCCTCCATCCTTCAAACTTTTGTTCTTTCTTTTTTTCATGTCCAACAAACTCTTTCCCTTTTCTAATAAAAACCTACTTTTATCCCTATTAATTTTTGCCCCACCAATTACATCATATATCTTTTTATTAATAATTTACCATCATCTT